GCTGTATGTGGGACGCGGCCTCAGCATGGCCGGAGAAGCGGTGCGTCGGTGCGTGCCCGGGGTTCCGAACCCGGGCCACCAGCAGCAGAGCGCAGCGCACTCAACCGCCAAGCCACGGGGCCGGCCCTCTCTGCTTTTCCTGTGCTTTTTGATGGCTTACACCTTGAAATTACGAGTAAATATTGATACTGATTAACAGCTCCAATTCATGTCAGTCCCCTTTGACAATCCAATCCTTAATATCTAATACGTAAAGATATTAGAACAGTGCTGAGCAAACAATAAGTACCCTATAAAAGTTAGCTATCCAATTATCATCAACATTATTAGCAGGCATTGTTGTATCAGACAGTTCCTATTTTTCATTATCTTGAATTCTCCTAAGGCTTTCATTGCACAGAATACTTAAAAGAACTACATTTCACATTTCATCTTATTGATGCATTCACTCATTCACTTCCTTATTCATTCATTCCAGCTGCTGTATAATCATCTTCAGAAGCTAATTTTTCCTTTTCTGCAGCACATACATAAGCTATGTTAATCATCTTACAAGAAAGCTAAATAATGTTAAAAAGCAAGTAAGTGAGACTATGTAGTAACTAAACATTTTTCCCTGCTTTTCAACACAATTTCAAATTGGAAACTTCTGGCAGCCTTCTAACTATTACTATTGGCAAAACTTGTAATGTAACGGCTTGAATCAGTAAATTTAAAATTAATTTCGTCGAGGCCCGCCCAGTGGTGTAATGGTTAAGTTCTCATGCTTGGCTTCGGCAGCCCAGGATTTGCAGGTTCGAATCTTGGGCACGGACCTACGCACCACTCATCAAGCCATGCTGTGGCGGCATCCCATATAAAAAATAGAGGAAGATGGGCACGGATGTTAGCTCAGGGCCAATCCTCCTCAGCAAAAAGAGGAAGATTGGCAAGGGATGTTAGCTCAGGCCAGATCTTCCTCACCAAAAAAAAAAAATTAATTTTGTCATTGAGATTTAAGATTATTTAATGAATTAAAAGTCAGAGACAAGTTCAAACTTAAGTTTATAGATATGTCCTCCTCACTATAATATGAATATAGTCATATTTTATCTGCTATACTTCTCAGATCAATAGGAATAAATAAGACAATAAATCTTTTATATTATAAAATTTTCTGAAAAAGGGAGACTATGCATGATTAATATTCTAAAATCATCATTACATTATCGAGAATAATAATGTGCGATGCAGGAACATTAAACATAGCCCACAGATACGCAACACCCTGGAGGAGGGGGGCCCTGAGCCGGGGAGCGCTCCCGCTGGGCGCATTTTGTGGACCCAGCACAATCGAGACGAGTGGCATAATATCTGACGTTGCCTGCTACTAAAACATTGGGGAATACCCCCAGAAAACCCAGTTCACAAAGAAATTAAAACTGGCTCTTAAAGGGCCCACACACAAACTCACCCGTTTCAGAAAGCAACCTAAAATCACCAGAAAGAAAGGTGCACAGTGCTGTGGTGAAAAGAGACTCACCTAATAGGCCCTGAGTGCATCTTGAGGAGAGGTGAGACCTCTTCAGGGACTGGGACCTTGGCGGCAGCCATTGTTTTGCCCTGGTGTGGGCACGCTGACACAGACGCCATTGGAGTTCTCCCTGAGGCCTGCTAGCCCAGGTCTGCCCCACCCACTAGAGCAAGGATTTAATCCAGCTCAGCCAGGGCGAGCAGCCCACCCTAGACACTGGCCCCACCCAAGAACAAGCCCTCAGGCAATGTGTGGGCCTCGATAGATTGGTGACTGGATTTTCTGCTGCCTGGCAACTGAGCCGACTTCAGCAGGGCAGGACATGCACAAGATGCGGGTGGAGAGTGTGGGGTTGTGATGGAGTGTGTGGGGTTCCTGCCATGGAGAGACCGGGTCCACTTCGGAGGTTGGGGCATGCACACGGGGCAGGAATGTGTTGACTGTGTGTGTGGACCTGTGGGCAGCAGGGCTTGTCAGCTGCAGAAGACTTGTGCTTCTCAAACACCAACATAAGAGGTTTGCTCCACCTCCCAAAGCCTGAAACAATTGGGTGCTCCCGAGCCTGAGGCCAGCCCCACCTAGCTGCAATCCTCAGAGAGCTGACAAGAGACCTAA